TTTTCTGGTACATCCTGTCTTCAACGTTACGCAAAAATTTGTATTCATCACAAACAGAAGTTGAAAGGTGAGTGGTGTGGAATATTGATTTATATTTAAATGCACACACTATTTATTTCGAATGCATAATCGTACGGTTAACATACCTGGTTTCGCGTTTCAATGTATTTTTTTTTTTTTTTTTTTTGGTTGATCAAAAATGTTCGGATATAAACGATGTCGAGTCGATTTCTTATTTTCTCTTGTTAATGGGATACCTGCGGGGCGGTGGATTAGAATCAACTATAATAATTATAAATGTCGATATCTTTACGGTGTACACACAACAAACGTTCAATTACTCTCGCTCCGGCTCCTCCTTACACGAATATAAATAATACCGACTTAAAAACTATTTTATGTACCTTCTTCCCTTGTTTCGTGCTTACAGAAGTTACGTCTAAGAAACTGGCGCCCCGAAACGCTTCCCGACTGTTCATTCGTCGTTAACACAGCATTTACACCGCCGTTTCAGATTCTCCCACCGACGCCTCGTCGTGTTACAGATTTTTCGCAAAAATTACATCGCGAGAGTGGCGGATAGGTCCGCCATTTTGACCCCGTCGTGGGAAACAATAATGAGGGCTCTACTAACTAACTTACACCGCGAAAATTGTTGTACAATTTCATCTCTGCTTTATACAATTGAATAATCACCCTCGTCGATCTCGTCGCTCCTCCGATATGAATTTCTCTCGCCTTCTTCGTCGTCCGACATCTTTAATTCTATGTTACAATAAATAAAATCGCCGCCGTTGCAAATCGGAGATCGCGGACGACGCTAGATTTCTGGTAAAATTATAAATCATTTGCACTGGGTGAACGAGAACCGTCCGATCTTCTCGTTTTTTAACGTTTTTATACAAGAATCGTCTCCTTGCGCGTTGCAAGAAAGTACGTGGAACGTTAGGAACATTTTCGTATCAAAGATTTCTGGCAATTAATTATCTAGAAATAATTTCTTGACAATTCTCCAAACGAGTGTTGTAACTTGATATTTAGCTGAAGTTTGATCTTTTTTGCAAGAAATAGTAGTAC